CCCCAAAACCCCAAAACCCCAAAACCCCAAAACCCCATTCCCATACAAATTTATTGAAAGATAGCATCATCATCTTCTCAGCTAGGCAGTAATTTCTCTGGACGAAGGTTTCCTAACAGTTGTGTGTATTCAGGCTGTTTCTTCTGGAAACGTCAAAAATTTCCTAAAAGCTTGTTGTCTACTGCCCATCTAGGTATAGTTTTTCCTTGCCTAAGAAATATATCAGTTACACTTACTTGTTAATCCCACTATATTTTAGGTACTTGAATCCGTCAGAATCAACAGAGGAGGATCTTCTCTTAGTTCTGGGACACTTGCAGTTAGGCATACCCTCTTCGTCGTACTAAAATTTAAGCTCTATTCCTTACTCCTCAGAGACAGACTTGGTCGCTTTCAAGAGTGAAGCGATTTCTTTTTGAAGATTCTGAGTCATCGTACCTATCAATTGTATATGCTCAATCTTCAAACTCGCCATCGTCGCTTTGGTAGGAGGCGTCACTAAGCTTGTATCTATATCATATGTTAAAGGGTGGATGCTAATCCTTTCTAATGACTAAAGAATTGGTTTAGCAAAATATGAAATACTCAAGCAAGGCTTACTCTTCACTAATTCTGAGAAATTCATTCAGCTTTACAATAAAGCTCATTTCACTGCTTCTCATTGACTTCTTTCTTCTCTGAATCACCTTTGGGCTTTTCAGAGGAAAGTTATCTAAATTTAAAGGTACATTCTCTTTGTCTTCTGAGAATTTTGGCCGAATCCCAGATTTCTTAGGAGAGGCAGATGACCGATAGCTATTCTTCGAGCATGAGCTCTTCTTCTGAACCCCTTGTTCACTGTTGAGATGATTTTTAGGTGTACTCTCATTTATAGAAGCCCCTTTCTGGCTAGTTTTGCTCTATTTTTTCCACTTCGCTCTTAACGCAAGTCGGGTTTGGAACATTCGAATTCCTTGCAGAACCACTCACAAGCCCAATAGGTTGGTCTCTCTGTTGGTCTTCTTCACGAATATGTGTCAAAGACTTAGTCCTGTGCTTTCCAAGTAATATATCTTTAATGCTGAACCTCTTCTGTTGAGGATCTGAATCCTTACTCTCTCAAGTAGCATCCTGTACATTATCTTCTGGATTAGTGAGAGTATAGCAAATTTTGGTAGGTTTTTCTCTTACATCACTGAACACTGAATTTTGAAGACTACTCATTTCAACAAGTTGGTCGTAATACCTCCATTCTCCGTGGCCTGACAACTTTTGTGTCGCATTTTCTTCAATAACGTGACTCCGCTCGCCAGCAACCTCGAAGCTGAGGGATGATGTTGAGTGAAGAGATTGCTTAGATTGCATTCGATTCCTACCCAGCTTCTTCCTCTGGTACGTGATCATCTTCAGTTTCAGCTTACAGAGAGTATGCAGCATTGAGGGCACCATTTTCACTCGTAAAGTAGTGTAAGATCTATCCACCCACCTTCTGAACTTCCTCCTTGCCTTATCCTGCTTGCTCTCTTGGATAATTTTTGACATATTAAAGTTTGAATTTAATTTTTTTAATTTTCTGCGAAACTAAATATTCCGGGGTTTTGGGGTTTTGGGGTTTTGGGGTTTTGGGGTTTTGGGGTTTTGGGG